AGATAATAAAGGATTCGAACCATGTAAGGAAGTTGATGAAGTAGAGAATGACGGAACGAGAGATCTTCCTGTTCCATGCAAGACTCCCAATGAGAGAAAACGTCCAAAGACACTTAAAGATTGGTTAAAAGATCCAAAGTTATACAAGGTACGCCTTAAATATTTCTGTTTAATAATAAATGCACGCTATATTGAAAACAAGGTATGCTTGATTTCTAACACGTCGAGCGTGATTTCAGAATGGTCTGCTTGAGTCATAACCCTGAAAGTTTTTGTTTGTTTGGAAGAACTGAGGTCAGGTCACCTTCTAGAAGTTATTGACAGGAGATCATATTAGCTGAACGTGAGAACACTTAGTCTCTTAAAAAAAAAAACGGAGTCAAGAGTTATCATATTCTCAAGTGTTTTTGTCGTTTTCTTTCACTCATGATTATCAATTTATATTCAAACCACGTTCACTGTAACCTTTTTAGATGCCTATGTACAATCCACAGTGCTTTACTCGATATCAGCTTTTGGCTTTATTATCGAAGCACCACAGGCTTCGGTGTGCACATGTAAATCGAAAGTACTCTTCATTAGGGTTCGTTGAAATTATTAATTCAAAGTGTCATTTTTCTTGATGCGGTTCTCAAAATAAATCAATTAAAACAGAGAAACGGTATCGAAAGATCTGTGGGTACGACCTTAAAAGTGTGCACGTGAGAAAAGCACTCAATAAACTGCATTATGGAACTCTTAGAGATTTCCTTGTAAACAAGTCAGATACTATCGAAATTATATTTAAAAAATACAGTTCCTTTCTGCTATCACAACAATTAAATACCCTCCAGGAATTGGTGATTACCTTCTGGACAGTTCCTTTGTGATGATTGTTAGTATGTTTTAGGACCCTTCTCCAAAATTGCGAGCTGAACGTAGAATTAATAAATATTCTGAATAAAGAATTTTGTTCTATGATTCAATAGTGGGCAGTCGCCTTCCTCTCTTTAAACACCCAGCAAAGTTGCCAACAACCTCCAGTGGGTCAAAAGGCCGGTATAATCCATTCGAAGATACTGAAAAGCATCCAAAGCATGAAACAATCACAATCTCGCATTTAAATGAGTGTTGGCGCAAACATTTTCTTGCCTTGGTACGGCTACAGCTACAGCTTTTATCTTTATGGAAAAAAAAAGTAAGAATAATAATCTCAACAAGACACACGGGCGACTTCTGCTATTCTTACGTCTTGGGAGGAAATGGTAAGACCATATCAATAGCCTTTCGGATGATTTAACATTCGTGGCAAAAATGTTTGACGAACACGTTCTTGAAAATTTCCACGCAGGCTTTGAATCCGTTTGTTTTATTATTACTCAAAGCTTTGCAAACGATATTTTATCCGTCTGCTTCGTAAAAATCTCAATAGCAAGACATAATCAATACAAGTTTGAGCCTTTTGAAGCTGCTAACCATCATATCTGGAGCAAGGCATTAACTTTATATAAGGTAACTTTGTTTTAAACCTTACTCAGCAAATGTTAGTAATTCAACGTTTAACATGTATAAAAACAAATAGAAAAGGAAAAACAATTGGGCTTGACTCAAAAATGAACGATCATGAAACGTTTCCTAAACTTTGCAAACTATAATTAAATTTGAGCACCCTAATTATTGTATATAACAAATCGAGGGAGAGTAAGGGGCCGAAAGTGACTAGAGAATGTAAATAGGTTTTGCTCCAGTACCAATGCACTTTCCGTCGAGATTATTGTTCTAAGGAATGTTTAAAGCTTTTCCTTGAAAGAACAGCATGTCTTTAAGACGTTTGCGAATTCACTATCAGACGCTCTGAGAAAACAGTACGAAGTAGATGTTATGAAATTTTCCTGCGCAGGCAGCGGTCGGCAAAGTTCCTTTAAAACATATACAAGGGTATGATTTCCTTTTACAACATTCTTTGACATCTTTTTGTGAAGCACAGCAGGTTATTATGCAATATATCGATCCCTTGATCTTCCTCGCCACAAACGTTACACAGAGTATTTTAAAAATACCCTCCAAAGTAAATTTTTGTGTTTATGTCTCCTTGATATATCGAGATAAGGGAATAAATATAGTAATTGTAACGAGCATTAATTCGTAGAATCAATGTGGATATGGATTACTGTTTTGTTCTACAGATTACGTGGCTACTTTTTCTGGCAGTGAAAGACAATGCTTTCAAAGAATGAAGAATATTACAAACTCTGTTGCAACTGTTGCACCAACTCAATCATGACAATTCTCAAACAGTTCAGAGTGTTTTTGCTCTTAGAACATAAATGGACGGTAGCGATGGGGTCATTGTGATGAGCCTGTGCGAACTGACGGCTGACGTTGCCTCGATCTTCAGTTGAATTGAATAAATTATTAATTATCAATGATTGTCGGTCAGTTCTTTGTGATTGCCCGTTAAAAAATAGTTTTGCACGGTCAGGTCCGATGAACCCTCGAAAAATATATATGATAACGGTAATTATGATAAAAAGATCACTTATAAAAAAAACCAACCAACTTTCTAGATCTATAAACAATTGATTTACGCCGGAAAGTAAACCTCATTAAAAAAAAAAACGTTTAATCTTAATTTGCTGGCTGGAAATGACGCTGATATCAAGAATTCTATGATCTGGTTGATACGGTGGTTAATGTTTTATTTTTCAAATAGAGTTATCAGCACCTGAAAATCACGAAGAAATAACTTAGCTTTGAATACGGGATGGATGGGGAGGAACTAACCTGGGTAACCAATAACCAAGAGTACCTCTGAGTACCCTGCTCGGAAGCTTTTTAAAACACAAAAATTTCATTCCTTGAAACAGTATAGGAAATTGCTATTTGGTGAAAAACTTGAGTCTATGGCAGAACCAGCCACTGTTATCGACGAGTAACCGTCCAATACTGAGTGTCAATTCTGCTGTACCATACCCTTAGAACTGAAACTGTTTATAAATACTTATTCTAAAAAAATATTTGGTTAGATACCAATGGCTCTTTGATGAACCTTCGAAGCTTGAAATAATCTCCTTTTTAGCTGAGAACAATAATTATTTTAAAACGTTATGAATTACTGAAATCTACAATATTCTATTACTCTGAAAAAAACCTCAGATTGATCTTTTTAAATTCTAAAATTGCTCTGATTAAATCAAAGTTCTTATCCTGAAGATAAACCAGAAAAATCTGAGGTTTCTGCTAAAATTTATACAATAGACCTACAGCAGCTTATTATTATTTTAACAGTGTTAGTGTTTTAATCAACAAAACTTGATGAGTAAGCCAGTCAAATGCTGCATACCGACGAGTGGTTATCACGAATATTTGTCATGATCCCCAAGTCATTAGGTTCCGGTTATCTTCAATCCTCTGATTTCATTTTTGGAGCAGTCAATGAGCAAAACAAACCCGGAATGCCTTCTGGCATTTTTTCATTTATTTTAGGCTACAAAGTAAACTAACAAAGTATCTTGTTTATAATTCACTCGGATTTTTTCATTACAGCAGAAATGTTAACGAGGTATGAAATAATGATTTATATATCTACGTGTAAAATGCTAAATTCTGTCTTTGATGATGTTCCTAATGTCGTAGCTAGCTACCTTTTTTTGTGTTTGGCTGATCTCTAACTATTCTGTAAACCAAAGGTACAACGTTTCTCAGCATATCGGTGTTCATATTAGGTCTAGATGACCAAACCTTTTGGAAATCAGACTCGCTTACTGATGATAATTATGCCTCTCGTTCTCTTATTGAAAACTTAATAAATTTTCTTTCTTCTCACTTCTGAGAACTTATCTGACTAACATTAATCATTCATGTCGTTGGTCAGTTTCGGGTTTTGCCTCAATGTTAGAGACATCGTTTTCATAGTCTTTATTCAGGTAAACGTAAGGTGTGTCCTGCGTCATCATGTCGTCCATTCTTGTTATCAGCTGTTCAAATGATGGTCTCTCCTCGGGTTCTGCCTTCCAACAGTCTAACGTCAACTCGAATCAGGTAAGATTAAAAAATACGCAATCTTTTTATGTACATTTTTGCCACAACGAAATTATCTTTAGCAAAATGACTTGATACCTGTTTTTTTCCCTTTATCTTTCTCATAATAGGTATTGAATAGGTATTCAACATTGGTAAAGTCAATAAAAATAAATAACTTTTCTAACAAATAACTATATCGATCGACCTTAGTAGAATAAGCACAGCATTCTACTCTTCCAATTTTGTATTGAGTGGCCTTAACCTTTCCTGTAATTATTATACGAGATTAAAGAAAACGCTGGATTCACCGAGGTACAAAGAAGTGTAGAACTTTCTATGAAATTACCGTTTCCTCGAGAGTACTTTTTTCTCTGCAGAGGCGGAGTTCCGTTTTGCTTCTTGTTCTTAACATCTGTGTAAAAATTGCAACTATAATTACCAACTTGTAGGAAACACCCTTTATTCAAAGAAGAGCTGATTCCTCTTTCAGAGCCCCAAAGCTACTTTGTCCAGAACAAACTTCGAGGAGAAAAAATTTCCACTTTCATGATATTTCCTTAATTGACTTGGGAAACATATCAGTTAGGTTTTGTTTCACCTCGATATCCATGGTGATTTTCGGTAGAAAAACAAGATCACAGAGAGAAAACTATACCCTGCCCGCCACACAAATGCGTTTCGGCTTGATAACATTTTTTCCCGTTTTTGAACAGAATCCGTTTCCACAAGTCTTGTTTTTAAATCTTTGTTTGCTATCCATTCACTGATTCGCTGAAACCCTGACAGAAGACAATACCAATTTTTTTTTAGGCGTTGTATTTAGAATAGGGAATAAGCATTTCTCTTCGGTTACTACACACTCACCGTTATCTTTAGATGACTATCACAGTTAAAACACCTTTTACCACCTTGATCGTATGTAATAGGCAATCTTAGATGGGAAACTGTACTAACTAAACACTTTAACTCCCAATATCTCATTAGTAATTCTCCTCCCTGTCTGCCATATAAATCGTGTGACGTTAGCTCAGAGCATTTAGTATTGGATCAACTAATAAACAACTAATTGATATTTTATCTTTGTTCTCATCACTCGTGTGCTTGATATTGTTTTCATTTTGTAAAGAGAAATTCTGTCTCGGTCACTCATGGGAGTTTACACAGAGTAGACAATAGTTATATTGAAAGTCCATTATTTAGCAGTAATATATAATGAGCGCTCAAACTGAGCCTACTGCATTGCGCGCACCTGTTATGATCTATTAATGAGCTTTAAATCAAATTAATTTACAAAGGATGTATTTTATAAAAATCGAGCTAAATGCCTTTAAGCGGACAGCCAATATACTCTTAGATCATCTAGAATCGAAACTTCTTCCTGTTTCGATGGTAAAACAGACTTTCACCAACTGTTTCTAAATAATAAGGATGATACTGTTTTTAATTTGAAAATGTAATCGATTCGACAATTATTAATCGAAGAATACATAGTTCTGCGTCATAAGTAAGCATCTTGAGTGGTTTTTAATATCATCGCTTAAACAGTTCAGCGCTTAAAAAACTATTAGCCTTTTCTTTAACGCTCGAAAGTTGTGTTCGATGTTCGCGCTAAAGAGAATTTTAGCTAAAAAATTTACTTAATACAAACCTTAAATTGTAACATCGTGTTTATGTCTATGTACAGTTTTTGCACGGGATCCACAATTCCACTCAGGAATTGCATTGAAAGTGAAACGCAATTCAGCCAACAGCACAGACGTGCTGCACGGCTTTCCTCGTTATGCCTTTCTAATAATCAAAGAACCTTAGCCTCAATGTATATCGTACCTTCTTGATGTTGGTAAATTTCCCTCTAGGATTTTAAGAGGGAGAGCCACAGTACTTCTTCCTGTTTACTTTCACAGGTCTTTAAGGACTATATAGTTACAAGAGAAAATAAGGTCCCTTTGTTTCCTTTTGATAGATATTTTTTCCAAATGTAGCCAGAAAGATTGCCGATACATTCAAGCTGCCACGAGTGGGCTGCAAAAGAACATACTCTCTTGTATGTGTGGAGTGTTTATGTAGCTCTTTAACATGGGCGGCGGAGCAGCGGAAGTAGGTAAAGGAAGATCTACGCTCTTCGATCGAAAATTTTGAAGTGTGGGTACGCAAAATGCCTATTTTCTCCTCTCCTGTTTTTTTTTTTTAGGGAAATTATCGAAATAGCAGCATAAAACAGAATCGGTAAAATATTGGAAAACTAGGTTTTTTATATGTTTCATCGTTTCATCAGGATCGCGCCTCGCGAAATGATTTTGCGTACGACTCTTTATTGAAAAGCTGCTTACTCGTGTACTTTCGGTCACAAATCGATCAGAAAGACACTAGACATGGCTTAGATTGCTTAAAAGTTTGCGTGCGCCAATCAACTGCTCAAATTTAGGGACATCAACCAACAGCAAAATTTTATTATAACATGGCCAAGTTTCTGAGAGCGATAATGAATGCGAGTTATAACACTCGTGTGTTTTTAAAATATTGATTTATAACACTAATCTACGTATTCGTATGTATTTGAGAAACAATTAACACGGTCCGTGGCTCCAAGCTTGTATTCATTAGGAAGAGGCGACGAACGCGGGCTCACGGTTTCCTGAACAGCGGCGCGTGGCTCTTGATAAATACAACACAGTTTCTTTACCTTGTGTCAATTATATTTATGATCGCGTAATAATGGTACGAAGATGATAACAAAAATGGAAAGGGAATGATGAAAATTGTACATATCTCATTTCTCAGGCATTCAAGTGTGCGATTTTAGTTCGAAAGTTTTTTGGAAATTTTAAAAAAAAATTGTTGTTCTTTTGAATATTAAAGTTAACGTAAAATCTTAAGCTTTGACGACAGTGACTTCGAAATCGAAATTCAACAAATTTCGTCAATCTCTCTCTTTTTCCGATATCTACTTCACACCACGACCATTTTTTTTAAGATTGAGAAGGTCATGTGACCAAGTCGTGTTAATATAGTCAGGTTACAAGGTTACTGATATTGATTGGCAGGCAGTTCAACACCTGAAGATAATTACAGTCTCCACGAAAACGAACTTTCTAGCCAATCTTTCTCTGCACAGAAATTTAATTTTACCAAATTTTAACTTGAGTCGCACCGATGGCACCTTTCAAAAGCTTGAAAGTCGTAACAATCTTTATCCGTGCGCGAATTTTTTTTTTCTTAGTTCGCGTCAAAAGTCAACTTGTCTTTCCCGGTTCCATTACCAACACGGTGAGAGGGCATTGAGTAAGGGTTTCGCCGTTTATTATAACGTTGACTTTATAGGTACCTGGAAATTTCGCTACAAATTTAACTTGAAAAGTTCCGTTTTCTTTTTCGCAGATTTTCAGGCTTCCCTCAGCTATCTGCTCAGCGGGCTCTATGTGAGCTTCAGCCTGAGCTTTGTGCTTTTTATTTCTGAATTTACCTTTTTGCAGTTCGGGATAAATCGATATCACTGCTTCTTCACCAGCGTGGAAACTTTGGCTTTCCAACGTTGATTCATTTCCATCTATATTGATTGTTGCGAATCCAAGGCTCAAATCTTCAGGTGACCATGATGGAACAAATTGAACAAACGGACTGACGGAAACTGTTGGTACTTGGGTTTGACTAAGCTCTTTTAATCGCTCTTCCAGATACTTTTTGCTTTGTTCGACGTCTGAGGTTGGTCTTCTCTGCTGCAAGTCGTTACCGAACTCAACTGTTTGGTTAATTTGCCTGACCAAAGACTGGGCAGATTCCCTTGCTGAAGTCAGTTTCTCCATCCTCGACGCGCGCGTATTCTCGAGGGATGCCATGGCTTCACTCTCGAGTGCTTTAACCCTCGCGATCATTTTTTCCGTTGCTTGCGAAACTTGCTGTTTCGCAGCAGCTATGCTAGTTTCGAAGTCTTGTTTATTCTTCTCCATTTGTTGAAGAATTTCAGTGCAAGCCTCTTTTCCTTTTTTCATCGCCTCAACTTCGGACATGATTTTGGCTTTTTCGGCGTCTGCTGCCTCGTCAAGCGGCACGACATCATGGCTTCTGTGATCCGTGTCGTTACAAATTTGACAAATACAGCTTTGACAATCAAGACAGTAAAACTTCATTACTTCTCGCTCGTGCTGCTTCTGCGAGCAAAATGACGGCCGTCTTAACAAGGCTTCGTAGTCTTCAGTTTTAAACTGTTTCAAAAGCGTCACTTTGTGCCCTTGAAACGCAGTTGTGCGGAACAATTCGTGAGCTTTAACGCAGTCACAGCACATAAATTTCTGGCAATCAAAGCAGTAGCTCGTTTCGGCGCTGTTTTTCCGACATATACTACAATCTACCGCACTTCCTTCGCTATTTCGTCGAACAGCAAGAAGATTCAATAAGTTATTGTGTTGAAAACTGCTTGGCAAATCGGTGAAACGATTTCCTTCGGGGATGTCAAGGTCTGCTTGGCACTCGGGGCATCGATAGCGCCCCTGTTTTTGAGTCGCCAGAGCATGTCTTTTCAAGCATTCACAGCAGAAGGTATGAAAACAAGCTATAGTCTTTGGGTCCGTGTAGGTATCCAAGCAAATCGGACATGTAACATGTTCGACGAGGTTTTCCAGAAGTGCCTCCATTGACACAAAGCCGGCCACCTTAGCGTTTGTGTTACAGAGAAACTTGAATGCATTGCGTGCATTCTATTTTTAACCGGCAACTAAAAATTCTGGACCAATAGACGACAGCTATCAGACTAGCGCGTGAACCAATTGGTCACGCGTGGAAAAAAAATACTAAAGACCTCAGAACGTGGTAGAAGAAGAGATTTGACGGTAAGAACATTTTCTAGCCGTCCTCTTCGAATCAGTTATTACGCGAAGTCACCAAAATTGTCGTGATCTGAGAATGGGAACCCCGACGGCGAGTTATTTACCTCAGTCTGCCAGTCTGCGTACATGTATCATGCTGGAGTTGAGATCTGGCGCCGTTTCAAACGGTTAGCACATCCAGCCATCTGCGAAATTGTTTTTAATCGACGTTTCACACGGCTTTCCCTTCCTGACCGCTTATTATTCGACCAGAATCGGACGCTCGTACAGCTGTGGTAAGATGAAGAAAAATATCAGAAAGTGTGATCAGAAACCGGCCATAGTGCAAGGTAAATCATGACTATTTTCTAATTTCAAAAAACATTTATTAACAGTTACGGTATAATTAACCTATAGAACAAAAATATCATTTAAAAAAATCCTACACCGTTTTAGCAAATATACTATATTTATTGTATCTTTTATACATTCAGTCATTTTATTGTTGTTACAGTTTTTTTTCTTTTCGTCGTGATCATCGTGACTGTTTCAACATTTCTGTCGCGTATACTGTTTCAAAAACAATAACAGCTGTTGTTTATATTTTATTTTAAAGCCGTGATATCCTTCCATGAAGCTTTGGCCGAACGGAAGTCAAAGTCTGTAGCGCTAGTCGAAATATTAGCCCATGAAAGTTCCCTTCGCCCCACGCCTTACATCTTCAAATTAAAATTGGTTAAAGGCTGAAATTGGTAAAGCCTCAAGGCTTTAACAGCTTGGTCAACTGCGCTAGCTCGATAGGACCTCAGTAGACGAGCTTAAATTTCCCTTTTGAGCATAAAAATAAAGTTCGTTTTGGCATTAAAAGATCGAGATTTCTCGGTGTAGGGGGTCTGGATACTAGGAAATTTGAAACCGCTGGTCTATTGAAAGCCCTTAGAGTTTCATAGCAACGGAAAAACCAATCAGAAAGTGCGATAGTTGCTATCCGACATAAACTAAACGACAAAGTATTATGGCTTCCAAAGAGCTGTGGATCTAAAGGCGTTTACGTTATTTAGTTCAACTGAATTCGATTTTAAAAGGAGCATAGCAGTTTGTTATGGCTGATAATGAACTTGAGGGTGAAATCAGTGACAATGAGAGCGATTTGAGCCTTCGGGGAGAGAGCGAATGTGAAGGCGAAGATAGCGGTGGGGAAGATGTTCGGGAGCCCGTTACTGGAACGACATCAGGCGATCGAGCCGCTACTCCTAAGAAATCAAAGGCTAAGAAGAAGAAGAAAAAGTGAGAAACATATTTAAATAAGGATAGTACTCAGAGATAAATTCTAAGAGGTTTCTTTGCACGCTCATCGCCAGCGAATATTGTTTTGTTAATAAATGCGTTTATGTTTTTCAGATGGATGAATGTGTGCTTGACAAACTGCAAGTATGAAAGTGGTAAGTATCTTCGTGTTGGAAATACAATCAGCACCTCTTTCCTTTGATTAATTGAGATCTCGTCCACGTTTTCTGTGCCCTAATTGATCATCTTAATTTTCTTTTGAACAGTTCGCAGGGTAACGAAACGATTCGGCATGAAGGAGGTTGGTGAAGATGAAGATTGGGCTTTGTTCTGGACAGATTGCTCTGTTGCTTTGGAACGTTGTATGGACATGAAACGTTACCAGGTACGTTATAAATAAACGGAGAATACAGTAAACTGTCGATATTTCTATGTCTTAAGCTTCGAAATTTATTGCAAGCAAATTACGGGCAAGCTTCAGCCTCGCGTACCCCTATTGTTCAAGCAATGATTAGTTCTTATACTCTATTGTTAATTTGATCTTGAACATGAAAATGCAGCTACAGCAATAGGCTTTTTGCAGCGTGAGGCATTGAGGAAACTATACCTTTTACAAACTGGAGTTCCTTGCTAACGTGGTAAATTTTGGAGGTTGGAATGTCTTCAATGGAAGCAAAGTTTTATCTTGTAAAATGTCGCCCTTAATCATAAAAGATGTTTCAAGTGCGTTTAATGGTACCCTTGTTGCCAGCGACCTTGTGATTTCTTGTTTAACAAAATTTGTATCGGAAATTCATGCAAAGAAAGGGAAAAGCAGAAATGTGTATCCATTCTTAATCATAGTCTTGCCGGCAAAGTTTTATATGTCTCTTGATGCTATGAAACACGTACACTCTTAAGTACATCGCCGTTTGTTGACATGATGTGTAAACAATAGGAAGTTGCTTTTATTAAATATCTTCTATTTGGAATCGAGACCTTGACCCACAAGAAAATGTTATTTCTGAACTGTTTATTTAGGATTATTACTAGAAAGAAGGGGTAAGTTTCTAAAGAAACTATGGTGCTGCGTCGGTGGGAGAGTATAGCAGGTAATGTAGTGTTAACAACTGAATTGAAAACGTAAATTAGCCACCGTAAAGGGTAGAAAAGCTGATGTTTCGAGCGTTAGCCCTTCGTCAGAGCGTCAGCTTTTTTACCCTTTACGGTGGCTAATTTACGTTTTCAACTCAGTAGTTAACACTAAATTACCTGCTATTACTAGAAAGGTTTGACAAAACAACGATAAAGTATTAATTTTAGTACAATATGATTAGTGTTAAAAGCACTAGTAACGTGATATTTTGCCTAAACCCTGTGAAATCATGAGCTAAAACCAAATACAATTGTGGAAGTTGTAATGGCTCAGTGAAAAGGATGTTGAGCTACAGATGGACACATGTAGGTGTGGGTTTAACCATTTGCATGGCAAGAAACTAATATAAGTAAACTTTTTTATTGCCCCTCTTCCATTTGAGAGTAATGAAGAAAGGCTAAGAGGTAACTTTTGTGATGAGCTGACACATCATTCGGGGGTGGAAACTATACTTGCAGTTACTTGATACTGCGGAAATCAATTTACAAGTGGTTTTTAGTATCACTCACGAGGGGAGAGAGTAGATTCAAACTTTACCTGATAAATCTAGTGTCATCAGTATGTAGTTGGAGTCAGATATATCTATTAGTAATTGCTTTCTCTCCCTTTTCCCTCTTTGCAATTGAGTCACCTTCACCCTGTAAATAATTATCTAAAAGATTTACTAATTCCCACTCTCTTTTCAACTTTTAAACAGAAAATAAATCATTTTCCTGGTATGAGTGAGATTTGTCGCAAGGATCTTCTGGCAAGAAACATGAACCGTTTATGGAAACAGTTTCCCAAGGAGTATGCTGTGTTTCCTAAAACATGGTGCTTGCCAGCAGAGTAAGTGACTTGTTCTTCCCTTGTTATCTAAAAGGACAAAGTATTAATGTAGCTCAGCTGTAAGAGTTTGTGAATTATTAGCAGTTGCTTAATTTTCACAAGCATATCATGTTCATTTTAGACTCTGGATCATCAGTATTTCTAGCAGAATTTTCAATCAGCAGAGCATTTTTTTTGGCATATTGTAGTTAAGTTGGCTCACAAGGAACACAGTTATTTAAAAGATAAAGATAAAGATAAGTGCAAAATAAATATCTTTGTGTGACCCTCCATGAAAGCCTTGGTTCATGAAGAAAAGCCCTATAAATTCTCCTGAATGCCCCTTTTTACCGGTAATTTTTTTGTATTTCCATGTGGAGCACAAGGAAAAGTTGAGATAGTTAAGAAGATGAGCCTAATATTCAATATCCTTTTTAGCTGTATCATTTAGCAGTGCCCAACCAGTTTTTGGGAGACATTACATGTACTAATGACCTTTCTATGCCCTCATTTACATGTAAGCCTGAGTTTTTTCATATTACTGGCTTCAATTTGTGCATAAGCTCAGACTACAGTCTTGATCACTGACTGTGATGAAATGATGGCTTGAAAATTAATACTCGTTAGCTTAAGTAATGGTATTTTCTTTTCATTGACCTTCAGTTATGGAGAATTGCAAGCCTACTGTCGACAGAAGAAGAATAAAACATTTATTCTCAAACCAGATAGTGGTAGCCAAGGAAAGGGTATTTTCCTGACGAAGAATCCAAAGGTCAGTTCTAACTCAAGCCTGGAAGTTAAAGTCAGTTTGTTTCTAGAAACAGTAGGTGGGACAAAACTATTTAAAAAAAAAAAGAGTTCTCCTTTTTTTAATGATACAATATCTTAAGTTTACTGTGCACTGTGAAGATTCTATAATTGTCTTATAGTCCCAACATGGTTTTGTGCTTTTTTGAAGAGCTTTTTTACTGTACCACCTCAATGAATTTACATTTAGATTTTTTTAATATCATGGATGCATTGATATTTGATAGTTGATCTGAAAATGAAAATATCAGTGTTCTGTATCTTGAACTGAAAAATTACAAAAATCGCTTTCCAGCAGAACTATCAGACATTGTAAGCTGCAATAATTAGTTCCTAACAAAAAAAATGGCTAATTCCCAAAAGGCTTTTCTGCTGTGTAGTAAATTTTTGGCTTTTGTCATTAAATACAAAGGTGAAATTTCTCTTGATGCAGCTTAGTCACCAGTTTAGTACATTTGGATGTTAATTGCATGCCAATGCAGTACAAGTGAAAGGTGTTCCATAAATAGTATCAATTTAGCATTTATTAGTTGTTCTTTTATACTGGTCAACAGGATATTAAGCCAGGTGAACACATGGTTTGTCAGCAGTATGTTTCCAAGCCTTTTCTTATCGATGGATTTAAGTTTGATCTGAGGGTGTATGTGCTGGTTACATCTTGTGATCCTCTGAGAATATTTGTTTATGAGGATGGCCTGGGAAGATTTGCTACTTTAAAGTACATGGAACCAAGTAACCACAATGTGGTGAGTACAGAAAAAAATATTCTCAAAATTGTTGAAACCCTTTACTGATTAGTATATACATTTATTTAATATGTATGGTTAAGAATCAAGAGCTTCTTGAATTGATCACATTTCCTCCATTCTCATGACCTTAATTTGGGATTCAGGGGTGATATAGTGAAGGGAAATTAGAATTGCTAGTAAGTCTTAAGAATCAAAGGTTAATAATTATACATTAATTGACCTAAAGTTTCCATTATAATTGTGACTGCTGGTACACTTGGGATAGTGTGGCCTTGCATGATTCAAAGGTATTCTACAACAAATATCAAATGTTTCCCAGGTGGAATACATGACTGTATAATTGTAACTGAATGGAACCAGATAGCCTAGGGAGCAGACATTGAGTCTATTATAGCAGTGATATTTAAAATGTATATTAAACTCTCGAAAGAGTTACAAAATAAATTTACAAACTGATTTTCAACATGTGGAGAATCTTAAAAAGATGGGAATAAGGTGGCAGTCTTTTCCAAGCTGCATTGGCTGCTAATAATTGCTGGTTGGTATATCTTTGGTAATTGCAATCAGATAATTTTTCATTTTTGGGGAGGCATGTCATTGAGAAATAGTTCAAGTGTATTAAATGAAAACCATGTTTTGGAGAATGTCTTGAAATATCCAAATTTTCCATAAATCCTGTTATTGATAAAACTAATTGTATTTTACATTGTAAGGAGACTTTATGCTGTTGTTAACATTTTTTCTAGTAACAAAGCAATTGTCAATCCTTTTTTTTAGGATGACACCTGCATGCACCTTACAAACTATGCTGTAAACAAACACAGCAAAGATTTTATCAGAGATGAAGAAACTGGGAGCAAAAGGTGTGTTTGCACTTTTAGTATTTTAATGTGACTGGCAAATGAACCTGAAATTAGTTGTTGAATAATTTTTAAAGTTATGTGAATACAGGTTGTTAAACTGTTTAGGCAAGGTGTGTGTGCATGTGATTTTCAAAACATTGTTCTGTTATCCTATAAGTGATATTACAAATTATTAAATACTGAATGATTTATTTCATTTCAGACGGTTAACAACAGTAAACAGGTGGTTTACAGACAATGGTTATGATGTCAAGGAAATCTGGGCATCAATAGAGGTAAGAAATATTTTGAAATCTTGTAGGAGTGGATCATGACTGAAAAATAAGGTCCACCTGTGTACATGTAAGCTCACAAAGGTATCAATGTGTAAACATGGGATTGGATCATATATGTGCTCAAAGGAAAAGTTGCTTTTTAAATGATATATGACATTTGAAAGGAAATGATGAGCATCAGTAACACTGCTAGACACATGGCATAATTTCAGTTTATCTGCTAGCTTTATTTGCAATATGTATAATGCCATGAGTACAAGCTTGACATCACAAGAGAGTTTAAGAGCTCAGTTTCTTATTTGTTACCATCACTGCATTCAACTTTGCAAAACAACTTCTCATTGGGGAATACTGGCAGCTGATACAGATTCCCATAATCCACCTACATTGAGAAGGGAAGATTAACTAAAGAAACTTTTTAAAACCTTTTAACTGCTATGAGTGACTAAGACAGAATTTCTCCTTTGAATATTACCTCAACATCAAGGAGACAAGTAAAAAGAATAAAAAACAATTAGGGGATTGTTAGTTGATCCAATACCAAATTCCCAGAACTAACATCATAAGAATTGTATAGCAGACAGTGAGGAGAATTACTAATGAGATATTGGGATTGAACTTGGATAACAGACCACATGCATTTTACTTTACATCATGTGGTATTGTGCTATTTAAGCTTGCAAACTTTCATGTAGTGAGTTTCATTTGATTATGATTTCTTTTATCTTAAATTGACTGTTTTTGTTTCAATTTGTTATTAGGATGCTATTATTAAAACTTTAATCACAGCCCATCCAATACTGAAACACAACTACAGGACCTGTTTTCCCAACCACAACAAGGGCAGTGCTTGTTTTGAAATCCTAGGCTTTGATATTCTGCTTGATAAAAAGTTGAAAGCTTGGGTTTTAGAGGTAAGAATACCAATTAAGAAAGATGTTTATGAAGAGAAATGGATGGTACTGAGCATGCTGTATTTAATGTGATTCAACTTTACCTTGATGTTTTTAAACCACTCAGACAAAGTTAAATCAAAGTAACATTCATTTAACCGATTTTAACCCAGAGGAATTTTTAAACCACAGGACATGTCATAAACATTATTTTGTAATTTATTGATTTTCAGGTAAACCATTCCCCAAGTTTTACCACTGACTCACCCCTTGATAAAGAAATTAAAGAGGGACTGATGTTGGATGCCCTCACTCTTCTTAATTTTGGGGCATGTGATCGCCGCAAGATACTCGAGGAAGACAAAAAGAGAGTACGGGATAGACTTCTACAGAAACAGAGGCCTAAAGAGAACAAGTATGTTGAACAGTTTTTTTTTTTAACTCTAATGCAAGTGAATCGAAAATAATTGACTAAACTGTTTTGTAACATCTGCTTATCCCTTTAACTTCCAAGATCTGATCATTAATCTCCTCCCTACGGGCTACATATTTCCTTCTAAAAAGTTACAAAAATATGGTATTACATGTAGATTAAGATAACAACTTTTAACCCTTTAACTCCCCAGGATCTGATTGTAAATTCTCCTCTCTAACTGCGGCAGCCATACATTTCCTTTAAAAATAGCTGCAAGAATTTGGTGTTAAATCAAGATAACAACTTTAACCTGATAAGTTTGCGTATTCTTTTCACCTGCATACTGGATAATGTTTGGATATTAGAGGGAGAAGTCACATGTTAATCACTTCTGGGAGTTAAAGGGTTAATTGATGAGTTTAAGTATTCTCATTACCTGTTTGGTGGGTGTTGTATGAATATTGTAGGGAGAAGTCACATGTTAATCACTTCTGTGAGTTAAAGGGTTAATTGATGAGTTTGAGTATTCTCATTACCTGTTTGGTGGGTGTTGTATGAATATTGTAGGGAGAAGTTACATGTCAATTGCCTCTAAGAGGG